TATTATTTTGTGGGATATTAACAACTATACATGAATAAAGGAGTGACAGTGGCTAAAAAACTGTTCCAGTCCCTGGCTGTCCCAAACTTTTGTACCATATTAATGTCCCATATTAACAGACAGGGAATTATCAAATGATATCATTAATATCACATGCAAGCAAAATAGTACTGGAAATCATCTGAAAACAGCTAGATCAGTACATTGACAAGGAACAGACAGAAGATCAGGCTGTGACACCAGAGATAGCATTGATGATGTCATATGGATCCTGACTGGAAGCAGAGAATACCAGAAGACTGTCTCTTTGTGTTTTATTTACTGTGCAAAGGCATTTATTTGTGTGGTTCATAACAAATTGTTGCTAACATTGAAAAGAGTGGGAATCCCGGAATACTTAATTGTGCCCATGTGAAATCTATACCTAAATCAAGAAGCTTTTGTCTGAGCAGAATAAGGGGACACTGCTTGGTTTAAAATCAGGACAAGTGTGCATTGGGGATGTAGCCTTTCTCTATGTCTATTCAGTCTCTATGTCGAACAAATAAATTAGTGATGTTGAACAATATTTAGTGAAGCTAGACTTTGTGAAGAGGGATGTGACATCAGGATTAGAGGAAGACTCATCAAGACTTGCTTTACTTGCTTTAAGCAAATGACATAACCTTACTTGCTGAAAGTGAGAAGAACTTGAAACACTTGGTGCAGAAGGTCTTGGACATTAGTCTCTAATGCGGCTTACATCTCCACATCAAGAAAACATAGGTCCACACCACAAGGCCAGTAGGCAACATCATGGTAGATGGAAAAGGGATTGAAGTTGTCAGTGATTTCATCTTGGTTGGATCAATAATCGATACCCTTAGTAGCAGCAATCAGGAGATGTATTGCATTCCATAAGTCTGCTGTCAGGGACCTCTCCAGAATACTGAAGAACAGTGATATCAATTTGAAAAATTGTTCTTTTCAGTCACTTGCTACGTGTCTGAGAGCTGGACATTGAATAAGGATGATAGAAGAATTGATGCCTTTGAGTATGGTATTGCAGCAAAGTATTAAATTTCCCATGGATGACTAAAGAACAGTAGATACGTCTTAGAAAAAGTACAGCCAGAGTCCTCCTTGGAGGCAAAGATAGCAAAGCTTAGTCTCTCATACTTTGATAAATTGCTAAGAAAGGCTATTCTTTGGAAGGAGATACTGTGCTTGGTAAGGTCAGCGAAAAAAGGAAGATGCCCAGAGAGATGGCTCAAGTGTTAGAGATGACGAGGATGGCACAAGATATGTCGTATTCACCTCGACAGTACCTAACAACAATAACAACAACAATTCCACCAGAACCACTCAGAATTCTGTGATAAAGTTCTGGAAATGAAAATGTATTTTAGTTTACAAAAGATTCTAAAAAGTCTTGCAGTAAAGAAATCTGTAATTTCTTTAAATCCAGTGTACCTCAGTCTCATTTAGTTAACTTTTAAAACAAATGAGAACGCTTTTGTTAAGTTGATTTCCTACATGCTGTGATCCAATGTGTTACAGAGTAGAACTGCTTTGTAGTGTTTTCTCCATTGTAATGTTGAACGAAGCATATCGCCAGGCCTTTCTTCCATGGTACCCCTGTGTGAGTTTGAACCACCAACCTTTAAGTTAGTATCTGAGTACAAAAGTTTGGGACAGCCAGGGACTGGAACAGTTTTTTAGCCACTGTCACTCCTTTATTCATGTATAGTTGTTAATATCCCACAAAATAATAATAAAATAATAAATAATAATAAAAATAATAAAATAATAATAAAACTAATGCTTTATAGAAATTTTCCATTACTTTTATACATTTATTTATTTTTGGAGCATTAAATTGATGTAAGCTTCTGTTAGGTAATAATATGCATATTTTGAATGTGAAACATTTCTTTAGGAGAAGTTAATACTTATCAATGGTGGAGTTCAAGTAATATTTAGTGTTGTGCATGATTGGAAAGGTGACTGTCTTTAGAATTAATGAAGTACCTTTGGAGGGAAAATGAATAGATTAGCATTTATTTCTTTACCTTCATATTTCTTTTGTTTTCTTAGGTCTCATCATGGTTTTGGCTGGAGCTTCTGAATTTGATCCTCAGTATAATAAAGATGCCACAAGCAGACCAACGGATAATATTCTAATACCACAGGTTAGGCCAAACTCCCAAAATTAAATACTAAAGCTAATACTTTTTTAAGTATGTATTTTTAAGTATTTATTTTATTTGCTCCAGCTAATCAGAGAAATTGGCAGCATTAATTTAAAGAAGAATGAACCTCCACTCACCTGCCCATACAGCTTGAAGGCCAGAGTTCTTTTACTGTCTCATCTTGCTAGAATGAAAATTCCTGAAACACTTGAAGAAGGTATTTGTGATTCTAATGTCTACAGGGTTTAAATAGGACCAAAGCAATGGATTTAATTAGACCTTGTGCACAGTGTTTGTGTTGCTTTTCATTTTTGTTCAATCAAATAGTAATTGCTTCAGGACCTTTGTAAAAGAAATCTATATGCTATATAATTACTTCACAAACAGTTTGAAGATCCAAGTAAGTCACATATTTTGGCAAATGTTAAACTTGCTATTTTAAAATCTTTAGATGAGCAAATGTTCCATATGGGAAATGTTTAGTTAATGAAGATTATACAAAAATTCCCAGTAATTTTTTTTTTCTTTTTTTAATTGTGATTTTATTGAAAGTTTAGAGAAAGGATGGGTTTTCATTCATTCATTGATAGTTTCCTCCCTCCTCTTTGTAATGTATGTCTTGTTCCAGCTTCTTGACATAGAGGTAATGTCTAATCTAATCATTTATTCCTTGTAGATAGTCCTTCCCTTCTCCTATTCAAGTGTTCATTACCTACCAATTCTTTTCCTGCTCTCCCTTGTGTCCATCTTTTTTTTTAAGTGTTATCTAGTTTTTATTTCAGCCATCTTACTTTTATAACAATGATCTTAATGCAGTGTATGTCCTTTTTGTTACTGAGATATTTCAGTCAGCATGTCTTCCAGACTTATCTATGTTGTATAGTGTTTTTCAAATTCATTGTTTTTCAGTGCTGCATAATACTCCCTAGTTTGAATGTACCACAGTTTTCCTATCCATTGCTGCCTTCATCTCTTCACTATTGTGAATAATGCTGCAATAAACATGGGTGTGCATACATCTGTTTACATCAAGGCTCTTGTATCTTTATATTCTTTGTAGTGAGATAGCTAGATCAAGTGATGTTTCTATTTCCAACTTTTTGAGAAAGCACCAGATTGCCTTCCATAGTGGTTGTACCATTTTACATCCCCATCAGAAGTGAGTGAGAATTCCAATCGCCATGCCTTCACCAGAATTTGTTTGCCGCCCTGTTGAATTTTGCTGTTGTTGCTGGGGTGACTAGTAAATTTTTGATGAAGTTTACAAACCTTTTGGAAGGAGTGGGGGGATGATTCAACATTGCTTATTTCAATCTCTTCTGCTACCATCCCATTCTATAGTAGTTAATAACAGTGCCTGTGTAGTTTTACCTTAATAAGTCTCTGAGGCCAATCATTCTGCTTAAAAGACTAGCACTGAATTAAAACAGGAATGTTTCTAGTGATAGTATCAATTTGTTATTTCATTTTTAGCTGTAGAATTTCAATTAAAATTTTAAAAGAATATTACTATCCTTAGAGGATAGGTGTTCTTTGTCAATGAAATCTAACATCCTATCTCCCCCATTGTAAACTAACAGTGAAATCAGATGTATCTGAAAGCAAGGCAACTTGATTTTTAGTAATTATTGGTGGGTAGGAAAGTTATGTTGGAATGAAGGTTATGAAGTTATGTTGGGTATTATCATTGGAATATCTTTGAAATAGAAAGTTAAATAGTAATTTTTTGCTAATATCTCCATTTTTCATTAATCTCTTAGAAATGGAGTAATACTATATTTTTAGGTTGGTTATCTAGTATGTGATAAACATTCCTAAAATAGTTAACTGTTTTATGCTGTTTAAAGGGATCTTTTTCTTTGCATTTAATTGACACTTATTCTCAGTCTTAATGTTTGGTCTTGCGCTTCATTATAATTACAAAAACATAGCTACCAAAAAAAACCCCCCAAAACAAAACATAACTACCTAGGAGGAAAATCCTTTTTTCCAAAAATACATCTTCTTTTTGTTATTGTTAAGAATATATACAGCAGAATATAACATCAACAACTTGTACAGTTCAGTGACACTAATTACATACTTCAAGTTGTGCAACCATTCTCACCCTCCTTTTTTTATTATTATTTTATTAGTGTGTGCGTGTGTGTGTGCGCGCGCATGCGCGCGCGCGTGCCGTCAAATCGGATCTGACTGGTACAGGAGGAGATTGTCCCTCCTTTCCTGGCAGAGCATCTGGTGGATTTGAACTGTGCACCTCTGGGATTGCAGTGCAGCTTCTTGCCACTAGGCCACCAGAGCTCCCCTCACCCTTCTTTTTTTTTTAAGTTGTTCTTTACTATTAACATAAACTCACTGCCTGATTCCTATATAATCTTTAAAGTAGCTCTTATCACCCTGATAGCTGAAAGTGAAATGCCCATTGTAGACATTAAATTCAATTATTATATACATTTTAGGAAGACTCCAGGGAATATTTTTAGTCTAAGCTTTATCGCAAGGCAGTGGTTCGTCCAATCTCCATGATTCTGGAAATTTTGAATACCTTGGAAATTTGAAATTTTGTTCTGCATTTCCAAGAAAAAAATGCTTAAAAGTTCTCAACTAGAAATTAAGATATTTTTAAAAAGAAATTGAACTATTACTAAATCCCAAACTGTAATACTAAAATCTTGCCTTTGCGTCTTTAAATTTAATCTAGAGTTTTCTGGTTTTGAAATAAGAATACTGAGGAAAAACTGTGGTTTAATCTTGTAAATTTTATAGTCTTAAGTTAAGGTGATAGAATCTAACTATAATAGCAGGATGATTTGTTTCTGGTTTTTTGTTTTTCAGATCAGCAATTTATGCTGAAAAAGTGTCCAGCTCTGCTTCAAGAAATGGTGAATGTTATCTGCCAACTAATTATAATGGCTCGTAGTCGTGAAGGTGAGGAGGAAATAGAATTAATAATGCTGTGCCTTTTTTTACAAGAAAGAACATACACTGTATACTCCATAGTTCTAAGATTTATGAGTGCTTAGGAGAAATCCCACCTTTTGATCCCATTAGCTCACAATTTATATTTTCTATTATGTAAATTCCTTACCACTGCTCACTGTGTTTTTGAAGTTTGTTTCTTGTTTGGCTTTTTCTTTCTTTCTTTTTTTTTAATTTAAATGAAAGTTTACAGAGACGTAGGTTTTCCAGTCATTCATTGTTGCACTTTTCTTCCTGCCCACCCCCATTCACTCTTCTCCTTGAAAAAAAAAAAGAAAAATTCTTTCATTGTTATACAGTCCCTCCCCCCAAGTCCACTCCATTCTGCAGCCTTCACTCTGGAATTCTGTAATGACAAGAATACCCATTCATATACCCCTTTTAAACAGTTCTCTCCATTACCTGTTTCAGTGCATCATAAATCACCCCTTCCCTCCTTCTCTCAACCCTGATGTCAGTCCCATTTTACAGCAGTGGCCCTATGCAATATTTGTCCTTTTGTGACTGAGTTATTTCACTCAGCATAGTGTTCTCCAGGGCCATCCATTTTTCATAATATTTCATGAGTTCTTTGTTTTACAGTGCTGCGTAGTATTCCTTTGTGTAAATATACCACAGCTTCTTATCCATTCGTTTGTTGATGGGCACTTGGGTTGTTCTTTTTCTTCCTCTAAATAATTTTGTAATTAGGTTGTTCTCTTACAGCAGTAAATTTGAAATAATTCTTTAACTGCTATAATGATGATTTACCCTGCATGTAGTGTTACTTTTGTGAAAGGAAACAAATGAGTGGTATTTGTGATTAGTAATGAAAAAAGAAGACCCTTTAAAAAAGTAGAGGTTGTAGTTGTTATGGATGGTGTTAGTATATTCTTTGTCCTCTTTGTGATAATTTTACAGCTATTTGTAATGATGCAAATAATTTTTTTATTGAATCACTGATTGTTGCTGGATAATAGTACATTTGACCAAGTTTGCATATTTCTAGTGCCTTATGCATTAACTTTTAAGGAAGAATAACACTTTAAAAAATTTGAAGTGTTCCATGTGATCAAGTAAAAGAGATTTAAAAATATGAAGGTTAATGTTATTAGCATAAATCTTGTTTTTATAATAAATTGCATACTCTTGAACATATAAAAAGCCCAGCCTTGTTTTTCTCTCTTTTTCTATTCTTTCTAAGAAAGGGAGTTTCGTGCTCCAAGTTTGGCATCCCTAGAAAACTGCATGAAGCTTTCTCAGATGGCTGTCCAAGGCCTTCACCAGTTTAAGAATCCCCTTCTGCAACTCCCTCACATTGAAGAGGACAATCTTAGACGGGTTTCTAATCACAAAAAGGTATCTCTTTGCTACCTTAAAGTTCATTTTTAAATGTTTGTCAGTGTTACTTAAAGGTAACATAATGAAGAGCTTTTAAAGAAGGTTACTATGAATTTATTAGAGAATTTGAAACATTCTAAAAGAAGTATTGTTGGCTCAATGGTTAAAGCATTAAGCTACCAACCATAAAAGATCAGCAGTTCAAATCCACCAGCTGATTTGCTGGAGAAAGATAAGACAGTCGGCTTCTGTAAAGCTTTTGGCATTGAAAACCCCATGATGCAGTTTCCCCCCATTGTACAGGGCTTCTATAAGTTGGAATCACTTGGCAACAGTGGACTTTGGTTTTTAAAATATTCCTAAATCTTTCTGGTGGTTTCCATTAACATTTTCTTCATTACATACCTTTTGTAAGGTTCTGTTTTGCTTGAGGCTTGGATGTAGTCTGTTGCTCACAATTGGGTGTGAGCTAATTTGATTTGGCCTCCTATTTTTTAAAAAAACATTTGGGCCCTCGGGCCTGGTTTCAATTCAATAAAACATTCTCCTAAGTGTTATAGCACTGGTCTGTCAGTTTGCTCTACAGAGGTAACTGTGGTTGCTGTGATGGTAAACACTGTGACACTGATGTGTCATATGCGAGAATGGTTACCAATGGTGGACAGTGTTTGGTGGAGCTCTTAAATTAAAACAGGCTTGGAAGCAGGAGTGGCATCCACTGCTAAAATAGCTTCCCCCCAGAAACTCTGAACTTAGAGACTAACAATGAAAAGTATGTGTCTTCTGGATTTTTGTTCATAGAGTAGCTATGAATGTTCACTTAACAACAAACAAAACCTTACAAAAAGCTATGTAGTTTTACAGTTTTGAAAGACAATGGCTTTGTTCCTTATGTGATGACCCCCCCCAGAAGAAATGTACTAAAAATGTACTGTGTATTTTTCTGTTATTTTTTTCTTGGCTTAAAGGCTGGATTAAAAGTTGTTGGTGAGATATAGACAAACAAAATTAAGCGTTCAATAATTAGATTATGGAAAGATAATTCTGATTTATAAAATACAATCAATAGTAAAGATATGATAATGCATTTTAAGTCCAATTCTTAATTGGAATATGTATAAATGAATGAAAAATTTGGAAATAAAATAAGAAATTGAATAAAAGAAGAATTCTTGTATGAGATCTTACACATACCCAGTATGGTCATGTGGTCAGAAGATAGATACTGGGTTTGATGTTTTAATAAAATAGGATTAAGAAATGTGTATTGAACATTTTTGTTGTAATCCTCTGTTCTTTTACATAATCATGGTACATTTGTAAAGCTCATCATATGTCATACCACAAATATAAATTTCCAAAAGTAGGAATTACACATACTTCATTATCTGAACTTAATGAAAGTTACAAATAAAGAACTAACACCACACATCTGAAATTAAAAAATTGTTCCGTTAAGGTAGACATGTCTGCAGTAGCTGACAGCTTTTTTTAATAGCAAACAACAAAAAATGAGAATATTGCATAGTTAAAACCTTGAAGTAACTTGACGTGGAAGTAAATTCACATTTGAAGATTTTTAATTAAAATTTAAAATAAAGGTAAGTATCTGAGCATTCAGTTTTAGGTTTTCTAAGGAAACATAAAGGTAGACTCTTAACCTGGAGGACATTATGCTGAGTGAGGTATCTCAGTCACAAAGGGACAAATGCTATATGGTGCCACTGTTGTAGAATGAGGCTGGCATTGGGGTGGGGGTAAGACTGAGAAAAACTGGATGAAATATGTTTACGGCATTGAAGTCTATGGGGGAGAGAATAGTCTAAAAGTATTATATTTTAGGGCATTATGTTTATCGTAGGAGTATGCAATGAGGGTTGTAGAGTGGATTATATTTGGGGCTAGGGGGTGGGGTTTGGGGAGGTGCGGGGGGGGGATTGTGTACCAATGAGGGAGTTTTTCTCTTTTCAAGGAGAGGAGCAAATGGGAGGAGGGGGGAGGGGTTTGTGCGGGGACAAGAGTGCAACAATGAATGAATGGAATCCCAAAATCTCTGTAGATGTTCATTGAAATGAAAAATAAACAACCTAAATTAAAAAAAAAAAAAAGGTAGACTCTTTAGAGGATACAGAACAGTAATAGAGTAATTAAGAGAATTTTAAAATCTTAAAGTACATAAATATTTCTATTTGTAATTAAAGAAATAATACAACAGAATTACAGCAAAAATAGAAGTTATTTTCTTTCTCTTATTTTTATTCAGTACAAAATTAAAACGATTCAGGATTTGGTGAGTTTGAAAGAATCAGATCGTCACAGTCTACTGCACTTCCTTGAAGATGAAAAATATGAAGAGGTTATGGCTGTACTAGGAAGTTTTCCATATGTGACCATGGACATAAAATCACAGGGTAAATGGGAGATGTCCTTGTTGAACTTTTCTTCCCTTTTTGTAGATTTTTATTTGATTGAAGAGTCTCAAAACATTTCATTTTATAACATAGCCTATAATTAAACTTAGAAAACTGTAGATTTCTTAAAATAATCAGACTTACTACGATGGAAAATAATGTTTACTTAAGTGTTTTGAGAACATTGGCCTAGTTCTGTCTTATTTTACATGGGCTTTGCTTTTAGAATTTCACAGCAAGATTTCTTGGAGTAATAGTAAAATAAGATGTTTGAAACATCTATCACTAGTATAAAAGAAATACTTTTATATTTAAGAACACTGAATACTAATTTCTAAATAGTAACATAGTGCTTAGTTCTAAAATTTTCAGTTTATTTTATTTAAACTTTGAAAATTAACCACTTCTTGGCATACGTTCATGTGTGTTTTTTGCCCCGTCTCTGTCTTATATCTGTTTTGAGAACTAAAGATGCAATTGAGAAAAGAAGGAAAAAGATTCTTTTTCTACTTATATAATTGCTCTGTGAATTCCCATCTTAATAACTGAATGATGATAGTTTAGAATAGTGACAGAATTATTGATCATCTCTTCTCTTTCATTCTGGCATTGTCCAGTGCTACTATTACACTCGCTTGCTTATTATTGTTAAGAACATTCTGTGGGCACCAAGAATAAAGAGATGGGGACTTAATATATTCTAAGAGGACCTAAATGTTTTAGTTGAAGAAATAGGACAGGAACATTGAATTATAAAATAGGGAGTATATACTAAACTTTAAGTAAATAACCCATGCATTATGCCTTTTTTCCTCATGCCATATTTTGTGACATGTTAAGTTCTAAGGAAGCAGGAGTGAGTAGGACAAAATCTCCACCTTACTTATTTTGCATGCTAATGACAAATGAAAAGTGGTAAATAATCCTCAAAGGCTGGGCTGTTGGGAAAGGAAAGCAAACAGTAGATTCTTGTTTTAGTTAGGCTGGCTTTAAAGTGTAGGATATATGTAGGAAAAGGCATGGTCCACATTTTTTAAGATTTTCTTACAGGTCCAGAAGTTTTCAAACTTTAAAATCACTAGTCTTAACAATTATATTTAGGACCATAATGATTTAAAAAGAAACTTCCTGTTAAAATAAAAATTGGGTTTCAGACTTGGAGATACTGTTTGATATAATAAAAAATTGTGCAGAAGTCATATTTGAGGAGTTCTGGTGGCTTAGTATGTAGAGTTTTGTGTTACTAACCAAAGATATATGGTCCCTAGAAAACGGAATGTTCCAAGGTAAGATAGTTTCTTATAAGAAAGAATGATAAACATGTTCATATTCAATCTCTCTGGGAAATGTTACCTTTTCCATAGCATCTGATAAGAAACAGTTTATTTTCTTTTTTTTTACTGTGTCTTCTAAATATGTAACATGAATGGTCTAGTTAGTGGAGAGTGTAGAAGACTTACAGAGTTAGGACAGGTGGAATCTCTATGGAGATGATGAATGTCCTTGTCCACATTGTTAGATGCTGTAGAGAATCTTCTATAGTTCTTTTCTTCACTTTTAAGTGAAGAAAACATTAGACACATAGTAGTACATCATCTACACAGCAGTATATTCCTGTATATAACTCTGCAGTATTGCAGATTTTATATTTTTATAGGTATTGTTGCTGTGTGCCATTGAGTTGGAACCAACTCATAGCTGAATTTTCAGTGACTTGTCATAGGAAATAAATCGCAGGAGAGGAGATTACCCATCCTCCTTTTGCAGAGCAGCTGTCAATTCTAACTACTTGTCTTTGAGATTGCAACACAGTTTCTTAAACAAAGCTACCGGAGCTCCCTTATACATATACAGTTATTTTTTTAAGTATGTATGTTTTTACCTTTAAAAATACATTTCCTTAATATGGTTTAAAATACTAGTGTTCATTCTTTTATTTTGACAACTAGGTGTTAATAATACAGGTCAAACTTTGGGAATAGAAATTGTATACAATATAGAACCCTATTTCTAGATAGAGAGCTATTGTAAGGTGGTCCTAACATTTTTACTTGTTCAAAAAGACCTGAGAAAGTATTGTCAATATAGTGGTTATGTTGCTTCCATTGCTTCTTCAAGAGTAGAACAAAATTTTTTTTTTAAAAAAAGAGTAGAACAAAGTTATACATTTTTTACTTGTTTTTTAAGGGTTAAATAAATCAGTTGTTAAAGTCATCCACTAACAGTCTTACACAGAATAGATAATCAGTGGGTTTTTTTCCCCTCTTTGAGTAGATATACAATGTTTAAAATAGTAAAACACCCGCCGGACTTGGTTGAACTGTGGGTTGCTGTTTGTTTTTATGTAGAACTTGTTCTTTTTCACTCTTTTCTCATTTCATCTTCTAGTATTGGATGACGAAGATAGCAACAACATCACTGTAGGATCCCTAGTTACAGTGTTGGTTAAACTGACAAGGCAAACAATGACAGTAAGTAGTTCATTTGTATTTTAAAGCTCTTAAGAGTTTTAAGTCAGAGTTTTTATGTTTACTTTCTCATTTTAAGTAGTACTTTCTCAAAGTCAAAATCATTACTGGAGCACATTATCTGACTTGTCTAGATGTTTTGTTAACTGTCTTGAGATTTTAAATTAGTTTTCCTGAAACAGTTTACCTATACACACACATCCAGTAGAATAGGCTGTGTAATTGTTTGCTAATTCCTTAAAAAAAGTTCATTCTTTCTTGCATCATACTGCATATATACCCATAGAGTTATATGATGTTTTTATGGACTCCTCCTCTCATCCCTCATACTTAATGAGGGACTGTTTCCCTCAGTAAAGGCTTCTTCAGCCCCAGTTAACTAAAATTCAGTCTTGTGTTTACTCTCCCTTAACTTTCTCATGTTCTGTGTACTATTTATATGCTCCCCGCTCTATATATAGAGTTATTTTTTGTCTTTCTGTTTTTCATATTTAGTTATATATTTCTCCATCTTTATATATTTTAGCACATTTTTGTTATTTCCCTAGTCAACTGCTATAATTGTAAGACATTAATAAAGCTGCGTAGTGTTTTAATTCAATTTGTTCAATTAAATTAGTAGTAGATTTCAGCCTGTGCTGCTCTGGAGTCTCTGACTATCTTTAAGAAATGCTTACTTCATTTAAACACTGTGTCTGAAATCTTTGGTAAGGAAAGAACATTTTCCAGTTGTTGTTATTGTTGTTAGGTGCCATCAAATCAACCATGACTCATGTGAACAGATCTGAACCTTGTCCTACCCTGTACCATCCTCACAATCTCTAGTACGCTTGATCCTGTTGTTTGTTATATGTCAGTATGTCAGTGTCTTGTTGAGGGTCTTTCTCTCTTATCTCAGACTCTGCTTTTCCCAGCATATCTTTTTTCCCAATGATTGTGTCCTCCTAACAGCATAGTCAAAGTATGTGAGGCCAAGTTTTACCATCTTTGAATTTCTCCAAGACATACTTGGATATTCTGAGAGCTGCTGGTAAGGAATTGCACTGCTAACCCAAAGGCAGGCAGTTTGAATCCACCAGCTGCTCCATGGGAAAAAGAAGGGGAGTTTTTCCCCATGCAGGTTATAGACTCTGAAAACCATCTGGAATGTCACCTATGAGTCATTTCTTTTTTTTAAAAAAAATTATTTAAATTTTTTATATTCCTCTGATTTATATACAAACTTTGAATACATTGTTTTCCACAGAAGATCCTTCCCATTTCCTTCATCCCACCCACCTATCGAACTGTGCAGCTCTGTGACTAACACCCTACCTACCCCATCCTCATTCCTCTATTTTCACCCTCTCCCCTATCTTGGATCCTTATATTCATTTTACGATAATGGTTTTATACAGTATTTGTCCTTGTGGGACTGAGTTAGTTCACTCAGCATAATGCTCAGCTTTGAGTCATTTCTAACTTGATGACATTTAACAGCAGTAATTCAGTTCTCTTCTCTCATTACAGTTCAAAGGTATCAATTTTTCTTTCATCCTTAGATGCATCAGAAGCAATTGAAAGTCCAATGGCTTGAATTAAGCACAGCTGAGTCTTTAAACTAACACTTTGGAAATGTCCTTGATGGCAGTTATTCCCAATGAAAGACAGCTTTTGATTTTTTGACTGTTATTACCATGAATGTTGATTGTGGATTCAAGCAAAATTAAACTATTAACAACTTCTTTTCTCCATCTGTCATAATGATGCCTATTGATGCAGTGATGACGATTTTTGTTTTCTTAATGTTAAGCTGTAATCAGGCTGTAATACATATTGAAGGTTGTAGTCTCAGATTTTCAATAAGTGCTTCAGATCTTCAATTTATGCAAACAAAGTTATGTCATTTTTGTAATGCAGGTTTGTCAATACAACAGTGTTGATTTTAGCAAGTCTAAGGAAGCATTTGTGTCAAGGAATCTGCCAGCCAATGCCAGAATTGGATTTAGAATCCAAATTTACATTTCAGCGCGCTGTAGGAATCCCCAGAACGAGAACACTTTACAGTTGGTGGTGGGCGTTGACATTTCTGAATTCCCAGTCAATGAAAAAATAAAACCACTGTGGAGAAAGGGAAAAAAATTAAATAGTTACATTGCCATTCTTGTATGAACTTTACTATAGAATAACCAGGTATTACTTGTAGAAGTTTTTTCTGCTAATAAAAGAAGAAGCAATGTAAAATATATTAAGTATAAAGTTAGATACAAACCTAAAGTTAATGATAAATATTAAAAATGACCCTTCAATTCCATTACTGGTGATATACACAAGGACTTAAAAGCAAGGGCTCAAATTCTTATACATCCACTATTCACCACATGTTACATTATATATGCCATGCTATGTGAATGAAAACAATATGCTAAGTGAAATAACACAGACACAAAACGAGAAATGGTGTAAGATTCTATTTTTATAAAATAGCTAGAACAAGCAGTGTATGGAGACCCAAAGTTTTTTTACGGTTACCAGTGGGTAGAAGAAATGTGAATTAATTATTAAGGGGTACCAGTTTCTTTTTGGAGCGATGAAAAGTTTTTTGGACTGGACAGAAAGAATAGTTGTATAACATGGCAGTTGTAATTATGTCACTGAATCATTTACCTAAAAAATAGTTCAAAACAGTGACATTTTTGCAATATGTGTTTTATCAGAATTAATAAACAGGCAGTGGACCATTACTGAATTAGAGTATCATCATTGTTTATAACTTGACACTTAGAGTTGTTTATACTTATTTATATATTTAAAGATAAATAAATCTTTAAGCAATGGCAACATTCTTAGTGTTTACTTAATCACAGAACCAATAAGTAGTACCACAGGGAATAATCACAGAACCAATAAGTAGTATCACAGGGAATAATGCATAAACTGTTAGTATTAATCTCATTAGGATTTTAATATTAATAAAAAATGAAAGACTATAATGCACTTCTAATTCTCCTAATGTTAAAGAAAAGGAATTGTTAACTGAGAAGTATTTCTTACCTTATAATGAGCTTACGTATCGGAGGCCATTGCATTTATAAATTTCAATAGACTGTGCTTTATAAAATATTTTAAAAGAGATGGAGATATATCTCATATAGTAACTGTGTAGAGTTGCACACCTTCATTAACTAGTAATTACTTAACTAGTAAATAGCTTAGCCTTCTCTCCATTTTACCTACTTATGTAATACAGTTTGAAAGATCATTTTGTCTATTTGGCAGATGAATATATATCAACAGACTTTTTGTTCTTGTTACCTTTAGGAAGTGTTTGAAAAGGAGCAATCCATATGTTCAGCAGAAGAACAGCCAGCAGAAGAAGGGGTAAAGATTCAATTTTCTTTACTATGTTTCCAGGTGAAAGAAATGTCCTATTTAGATTTTTTTATTGTCTTTTGTTGTTGAATTTTAGAAAAACATTCAATATTTGTATCTAAAAGTTATTCATGACTTCCAAATTAACCTGTTGATATAACTTACTAAGTGTATATGGTTTTTGTGATTTACATCAGAATGATGCTAACAAGAACAGGACAAAAGGAGGATGGCAACAGAAAGGTAAAGGACCCAAGAAAACTGCCAAGTCAAAAAAAAAGAAGGTGGTAAAAAAAAAGCCTCCATCCATGCCATTACCGCAGTCAAAGCAACAGAAACAAAAGCAGGCAAATGGAGTTGTTGGGAGTGTAAGTTTATTATTGTTACTTTTGTTAAAGTATAACAGGTATAAGCTGAAATGCTCAAATCTTGATGTGTACAAAGCTTTACATATCTGTGTACTAATAACCAGATATTATATTAAACATTGTCAGCACCCTAAATATCTCTCTAGTGCCCCTGCCCAGTCAGTAACTCCTCCCTCACGCTAGCCACTGTTGTGACTAATTATCATAAATTAGTTTTACCTCTTCTTAAATTTTGTGTAAATAGAATCACTGCATGTCTTGCTGCTTTTGCTAAACACTGTGTCTGTTGCATTCATCTACATTTTGTCTTTTTTTTTTTATTGTTTTAGTCTTTTATTGTTTAATCTTGTGATTAGCTATTGTGAAGGGTATTGTTTTTCTTAGCTCCGGTTCATTATTCTCTTTGTCACTGTAGAGAAATTCAACTGATTTTTCTATGTTTATCTTGTATCCTGCTACTTTGCTGAATTGGTCAACTATGTCCAATAGTTTTCTTGCTGAGTCTTTAGGGTTTTCTAAGTATACTATCATATCATCTGCATAGAGAGATAATTTTACCTCCTCTTTGCCAATTTGGATACCTCTTATTTCCTTCTCTTATTGCTATCGCTGAGACTTCCAATACATTATTGAATAAGAGAGGTGATAGGGCATCCTTGCCTAGTTCCTGTTCTTAAAGGGAATACCTTTAACTTCTCCATGGAGAACAATGTTGGCTCTTGAGTTTTCATAAATAAATACTTTTTACTATGTTGAAGAAATTCCCCTCTAATCCTATTTTGTTGAGTGTTTTAATCAGGAAAGGGTGTTGGATTTTGTCAAAGGTCTTTTCTGTATCAATTGATAGGATCATGTGGTTCTTGTTCTTTGTTTTGTTAATGTGATGAATTATGTTAATAGTTTTTCTTATGTTGAACCATCCTTGCATACCTGTTAGGAATCCCACTTGGTCATGGTGAATTATTTCTTTGATGTATCTTTGGATTCTATTGGCCAGTATTTTATTCAGGACTTTTGCATCTGTGTTCATAAGAGATATTGGCCTATAGTTTTCTATTTTGGTGGTGTCCAATTCTTTTTTATTGTTTTGTAATATTCTATTTTACATTAATATACTATAGTTTGTTTTATGATTGCCAACATTTGGGTTCCTACTTTTCGCCTATTAAAAATACTCGAATCAAAACGACTATGAGATATCATCTCAGCCCAGTCAGAATAGCAAAATTTAACAGTACAACAAGCAACAAATGCTGGCAAGGTTGTGGAGAAACTGGAACCCTTAATTCACTGTTGGTGGAAGTGTAAAATGGTGCAACCCCTGTGGAAGGTGGTATGGTACTTTCTCAAAAAGTTGCAAATAGAGATACCATTTGACCCAGCAATTCCACTACTGGGAATATACCCTGAAGAGACCATAGCTGACATCCAAGCAGATATATGCACACCCATGTTTATGGTGGCTTTATTCACAATAGCACGGAGTTGGAAACAACCTAAGTGCCCATCAACAAGCGAATGGATAGAGAAGCTGTGGTATATTCACACAATGGAATACTACGCTGCATTGAAAAACAAGGAACTCATGCAATATTATTCCAAATGGATGAGCCTGGAGGACATTATGCTGAGTGAAGTATCTCAGTCATAAAAGGACAAATACTGCATGGCGCCACTGTTGTAAAACAACTGATCTTGAGGTTCGGGGGAGATTGAGAAAGATGGGTTAATAATGTATCCTGCATTGGCACAAATAGGGAGAAAACGGTTTAAAAGGGATATGTTATTAGGTATTTTTGTCATGGCTGGAGTCCAGAACGAAGGCTGCATAGTGGAGTGGACCTGGGGGGAGGGATTGTAAAACAATGAAATGATTTTGCTTTTCCAAGAGGGTAGTGTACTTGGTGGGAGGGTTGGGAAGGGAGAAAAGTGTAACAGTGAATGAATGGAAATCCAAAGTTTATGTAAATTTTCATTGAAATTAATAATAAATTAAAAACTCAAAATATTTCAAGGCAGATGAGATATTTCATTCAGATAGTAACCACCTGGATTTGCACACATTCATCAATTTTTTTTTTTTTATGTTGAGAACATTTTTTTTGGTACTTTAGTGCACATTTTATTTTCTCTTATTAATTTTAATAAAAGTTGCAGAGATTTGGGGTTTTCACTCATTCATTGTTCCATTTTTCTCCCTGCCCATCTCCTCTCCCCAGAAATTTATTTTGTAATTGAGATTTTAACAAAAGTTTATAGAGAACTTGGATTTCCATCCATTCATTGTTGCACGTTTCCCTCCATTCTGGCTCCTCAGCTCGCTTTTCTCTTAAAAAAAAATCTTTCATTGTTTCACAATCCCACCCTTCTCAAGTCCCCTTTGCTTTGCAGCTCTTATTCTGGACTATTGTATGAGTTCCTTGTTTTTCAGTGCTGCATAGTATTCCATTATGTGTCTTTATCACAGTTTATTTATCCATTCATTTATTGATGGGCACTTGGGTTGTTTCCATCTCTTTGGTATTGTGAACAATGCAGCAGTAAATGTAGGTGTGCATAATTAATAGATTCTTAAGGTGATTTGTTTTTTATTTTCCTTTTCTTTCTTATACATGGTCTTTTTCATGGTTATATCCAACAGTGATATCTGAGTCATCAGATAGGTGTGTGGTTAACTTGGTTGAGTCAAAAACTTGTGCCTTTTTATATTCCTAACAGCAAAGTTTAAGGCTGTTGTACATAGGGTCGCTATGAGTTGCAAACGACTCGACGGCACATAACAACAACAGCAGCAAAGTCTGAGTCCAGTTGTTCTCTATCTTCACCAGGTCTTCATTTTACCTGTCTTTTTTTATTTTAGCCACTGTGGTAGATTTTTAGTGATAACTCTTTGAATTTTTTGTTGTTCTTGTTCACTAAATTGTGCATATGTAGAAACTGTTGAATTGGTGCATGTTTTATTGTTCAGTGACAGGGGCTTTGGTGACTTAGTGGTAGGTAAGGAGTTATGTTGGCAACCCAAACAAAGGTAGGTGCTTCAAATCCACCAGCTACACCATAGGAGAAAAATGGGCAGGCTTCTCTCTGTGATTTATAGCCTCTGAAACCCCTCAGCAATGAGTTATTTCCAACTCAATATTAGCAAGAAGAAATAAAATTACAAAAAAATTATTGGCCTCCTAGGAAGTGTTTTTTACTCCTGAAGAGTTGTATGGGAAATTGATGTGTTTCTTGTGTGGAAGAATTTCTTAGGAATTTTAAGAGGTTTAGTTATAGTTTCTATTTCCTTAAGACCATTCAGATTTTCTGATTCTCCCCATCCTTTTTAATTAGAATCTGTTTTGGGTAAATTATAATTTAGAGAGAATTTGGTAATTTCTTCTGAGATGGCAAATGTGTTGGTGTAAAGTTTTTCATAATATCCTCTTATAATTTTAATGGCTGTTAGATCCTTCATTGTCAGTATTAATGTTGGTAATTTGTGTTTTCTTGCTTCCTCTCTTTTTTAAAAAATATATTTTTTACTGTGATTTTAGTCAAAGTTTTCAAAAAGGTTGGGCTTTCATTCTTGCTCTCATGAGAAGTCATGCTTATGGGTTCATGAGCTTTACGAAACTGTGAGGAATGAATAAAACATTTAATAATAGACAAAAGTGAATGTTAATATCTGCCAGACTCCTATATCTTTTTTATGATTAAAATTATTCTGTCTGAATAATGAAATAATAACCTCAAGCCAGTTTGTAATCACATGAAGTTTCAGGAACTTAAAATCATGAATACGCACTGAAGTGTTTCTATGGTTATTTTTCCCTTTTAGGAACCTATAGTAAAGGAAGATGACGAAGTATCTGATAAAGGCAGTGACTCTGAAGAAGATGAAACCAATAGAGATTCTCAAAGTGAAAAAGATGATGGGAGTGACAGAGACTCTGATAGAGAGCAAGATGAAAAGCAAAACAAAGATGATGAAGCAGTAAGGCTTACTGTTATAGGTTTAAATCATTGAGTTATATCTGTGGTGATTGTTTTGTTGTTGTCTTTCTCTAAACAATCAGTATATTTTATAATAGTTCTTAATATATTGCTTTGCAAAGAATGTTTTTGAAAGATAATGGGGCTGTAAAAGTTTTAAAATTTCTGACAAAGATTAGAAAAGATTTTCTTAAGTCTAAAATTGCTAGATAGTAGGACCTGGGTCTGAGGAGAAGCAGTTTGGTCTCTAGGGGATTTTTTGGCACTGAAAGTGTTTTGGGACTGTGAATAAGGAAAAGTCCTTGTAAAATACGTAACAAGTTACAAGTGACATCCAGAGTAAAGAAACGTTACTATGGACCCTAATGTCAAGAAGCTGCTTAAGAGCAAAGCAAGTATTTACACAATACTGGTTTATATCAAAGAATCTATAAAGTATTAAGAACAAAATAGGGGCTATAAGGGATTTTTATAGGATAGGGAGAGTAGAGTATATAGGAGAAAAAGAACATCTCATTTGTTTGGCATTAAGTTTTACTATAGAGAAGACTGTTTTTGTAGATAAATAATGGTCTTTAGGTTTACTGCAAACAAACTGTATACTTATCAAAACTATACTAACGAACTGCCCTGTTTGTTAGTTTTACTCTTTTTGACTAGGGAATTGATCTAAAAGTAATCCTTGTTGTTTGGGAGAAAGAGATCAGATCCCTTGAATAATCTCTGAGGTAAAAGGAAAGGCCAAAAAGGAACAGGTAAAGGACCAAGGATAAAGGAGATGAAGTATTCAGAAATAGTGGCACTCATCTTTGGCAATAGTTAAACCAACAAACTTTGGGTTTTTTTTAGCAGTTACTAAGCCTAAGTTGGTTTTTCTTTTTTTAAACAATAAAGCACATAAGGCATTAAGCTGTGAGAAAATGAAAACCTGTGGAGAAATTATTTCTACTACAGCCTCACACTTGGGAACATGTTGACATATTTTTTATATGACTCTATTAGGATTAGTAGAAGTAACTCCTAGGATTTAACAGACTATTAAGTTCAGATGACTAACAATGCAGCAGATGACTTACTGTCATGATGCAAGCACTACAAAATAGTTTTAACAGTTTCTTCCAGTGGGCTCATAGTCCAGAGGGCAAAAGCAAACTTATAAAGAAAAACAGTACCTAATAGAGTGTACACATTTATATATGTGATAGCACAAAGGAAGGTGATCACCTCAGTCCTGAGAAAGATGGACTTTTATGGAAGGCTTTACACCTAAGTTCAGACTTTAGGATTTAGCAAGCCCTGGAAGTATGAGAAGCGATTTACCAGTCAGATAAAAAAGGAAGAAAAAGTCCACAAACAGTTTAGAAAGAAAATAGCTTGGTGAGTTCAAGGAAATCACAGTAGTCTGATATGACAAAAATAAAATATATAAAGAGAATAGCAGTGACAGGAGATTGGAGAAGTAAGCCAGGATCATCCTGTAGGGGTTAGACTGATTTCTAAAAACAGCCTTAAGTTTTCAGCAGGGAAACAGCCAGATATGTAAAATGGCACTGATTTTAATACTAACTTGTTAGCATTGTTGGTAATATTTGCTCAAAAGAGAAGAGAACTCTTCAAATGTTCAAAAAACATACTTGATTTAAAATTTAAAAGCAGTTTTTTTTTAAACTAGGAATGGCAAGAATTACAACAGAGTATACAACGAAAGGAGAGAGCTCTGCTGGAAACCAAATCAAAGATAACACATCCTGTTTACAGTCTTTATTTTCCTGAGGTGAGTTCCTCCTGCACATAGTCTTCAGTTTTGTTCTATAATGCTCCGTGGTAGGTACTAGTTCATATATGCTAAATGTGGTCTAAAACATGTCGCATTTTTAAAATCAAGTACATTGTGAATAACATGTATTGAATGCATGGTTCAAGAGTGAGATTGTTAGTTTTTAAGTATTTCTGTAGTTTCTTGTGTATATATCTTCTGGACCCAGATTATATTTAGCAATGATTTTCCATTAAGAATTCAGGCAATCTGCAATAGACAAATGCATATTTTATCTTTCACTGCTTGACTATCGTGAATCTCTTATCTCCACTAATTTTAAAGTAAGGTAAAGTCAGTTTAAAAAAATTCTTCTTAGGTTTTTGAAAGGTTCTTACACTAGCACCTGGAGCAACCAGGGATACGCAAGTCCTGGTGATTGCACCATTCTGTGGAATGGGCAAGGCCAATGGCTGTGAGACCAGCTATGTTCTTGGCCTGAACAACATTCAGTCTGAATAAAGAGCATGGCTGATCTCTGAGCCCAGGATAGACTGTTACAGGGTTTGCTCAGTGCTAATGATAGTAAGCTATTATTGCTTGCTTTTTTGTCATGGCCTGCTCAACATAAGACCACTTGATAGAGTACTTTGTTTATCTTTTAAACTAGTTTAATCATTCCCTTAATATTTTACTTTTTTAATTATAATTAATTTTAAGAGACATTTACAGAGGTTTTGGATTTCTGTTCATTTATTGCCGCACTTTTCTCCCTGCCCACTCCTCCCCACCAGCTTGCTCCCCCCTCCGAAGAGAAAAAGGAAAAAAAAATCCTTCATTAGTATATAATTCCCATATCCCTTCCTCCCCACCCCCCACCCCGAGTACACTTCTCTATGCAACCTTAATTCTGGATTCCTATGCTAACCATAATACTCAATCATATATCACTTCTAATCTGTTCTTTCCCCCATCTGTTAATATTTTACTTTTGAAGAAGTGATGCAGAGTAAAGAACTGGTTGCCCTTATTTGGTCCCCATTCTGCTTCACAGACTGTCTCACAGCTTTGTCACGAAACTTCTACTCACTACTCATGTTTGGAAGATCATTCTTTATGTCTGTGAACCATTACAGATAATTCTACTGTAACGTGCCAGTCCAGAGTTGCTGGGGATGCTTAGGGCTAATGGTAAAGAATTTGGCTTTCCATTTCCAAAAAAGGTGGTAACAACAGAATACAGGAATTATAAAATAATATCATTAATATCTCATGCAAGCAAAATGTTGTTGAAAATCGTTCTGAAACAGCTAGGACAGTACATTGACAGGGAATTCCAGAAGTTCAAGCTGATTTTAGAAAAGGACCAGGAATATCATTGCTGATGTCAGATGGGTCTTGGCTGAAAGCAAAGAATACCTGAAGAATGTCTGTCTGTGTTTTATTGACTATGTAAATGCATTTGACTGCATGGATCAAATTATGGCTAACATTGAGAACGATGGGAATCCTAAAACACTTAATTGCGCTCATGAGAAATCTGTAACTAGACCAAGAAGCTGTTGCTTGAACCCAGCAAAAAAACACTGCATGGTTTAAGAATCAGGAGAGACATGTGTCAGGGTTGTATCCTTTCTCCATAGCTATTTAGTCTGTATGCTGACGAAATAATATGTGGAACAGGACTCTGTGAAGGAAAATGTGGTATCCGGATTGGAGGAAGGCTCATCCACAACCCACGTTATGCAGATGACACAACCTTGCTTGCTGAAACTGAGGAGGACCTGAAGCATTCACTGCAGAAGGTCAAGAAATGCAGTCTTCAATTTGGACTGCATCTCAACCTCAAGGAAATAAAGACACCAGTGTGCCAATTGGTAGGATCATGATAGATGGAGATTGAAGTTATTAATAATGTCATCTCACACAGATCCACAGTCAACACCTTTGGTATCAGCAGTGACAAATCAGGAGACATTATGAATTGGGCAAGTCCACTGTCAGGGACCTCTCCAAAATGCTGAAGAGCAGTGAGTTCAGTTTGAAAACTAAGGTGTGCCTGATACAGACCATGGTCTTCTCAATCACCTATAATCAGAGAGCTGGAAAACGAAAAAAAAAGGTGACAGAAGAATTGATGCCTTTGAGTGTTATGATAGAGAAGAGTACTGAATTATCCCATCGATTGGCAAAAGGACAAATAGATATGTCTTAGAGAAGGTGCAGCTAAATTGCTCCTTGGAAGCATGGGTGGTGAAGCTTTGTCTTTCGTACTTTGGGTATGTAGCTAGGTGAGGCGATTCCTTTTAGAGGGACATCATGCTTGGAAAGATGGAGGGTAAATGAAGGAGAGGAAAACCTCCAATGAGATCGATTGGCATACTGGCTTTAGAAATGGGCTTGAATGTGTAAGAAATGATGAGAGAATGGTACAGGATAGGACAAGGTTCAGGTCAATTGTTCATGCGTTGCCATGAGTCATATTCGATACACCTAACACCAACATAGGAAGCAGGAGTTGTATCCACTTCCTAAATAAAATGCCTTTGGAAACTATGAACTTTGATAAATGTTGAGAGTTGTAGAGGGGCTTCTGGCCTCTTGTTCATAGGGCTATGAGTTGTGCTCGACTGGAAGGCAATCAACAACAAAAACAACCTAATTAGGGAGCTCTGAAGGGGTTGTGCTGCCAGAGGCATATGATTGAAATCTACCAGTTGCTACTTAGAAGAAAGAGGCCAATCTCCTGTACTAGGAATTGCTTCTGAAAACCCACTGGTAGGTCAGCTGTGAGTTGGCTTTGACTTGACACTACAGAGCAGTAACAATAAATGATTGACTCTGCACAAACTCTTGTTTTAACTTGGATAAAAATTTGCTCAGGATTCTAGCTTAATGCACATGTTTGTCTTCTTGCATGTTCTGAGCTTTAAACCATCTGCTAAGGGACACTTTGATCATTGCAGAAGTGATCAACACCAAGCATCCTGAAATCAAGTGGATCAATATATCCTTAAGTGATTTATTTAAAAAGAGACAAGATACTTTAAACAGCGTAGTCTGTGGCCATACAGCAGTTTCATTTTGGACCATATTTTATTCATAAGTGAAAGATTCATTCACTGTCTTCTTATTGTTGTTCTGTACTTTAGAGTCGGAACTGAGCCATAGCTGACCCTTTTACAGGTTTCCAGAGGTAGTTAATCACACAGGAGGAGATTGCCCATCCTTCTCCCTTGGAGCTGCTGGTAGCCTCAAACCTTGTGCCTTCAGGATTGCAGTGCAGCTTCTTGCCAGTAGGCCACCAGAGCACTGCCTTAGGACATTTTAAATTGAAATTCTCTTTTTCTAATTTAATCTACATCTGCATGTTTTGGTAAACATTTCAAAATGCCATTTCTCAGCTTAAAGTTTATGCTCCTTCAGGCACTATTTCTCTGCCTTCCTTAGTTTCCTTCCACTGCCTTAATACAGTACCATAAGTGAGTGACTTTAACTTTCTCACAGCTATGACTGTCTGCATTCAGGACACTCACTGTAGGGATAAGTCTTTCATTTTCTGGTTCTTGTTGTTGTTAGGTGTCATCTAGTTGGGTGTCATCTAGTCACCTCATCATGATCATATGAACAAAAGATCTGAACCCTATTTTATACTGTGCCATCCTCACACTTCCTGTCACACAAGAACCCATTGTGGCAGTCATCAGATGAGTCCACCTGGTTGAGGGTCTTCCTCTTCTTCGCAGACCCTCCACCCTTCCTAGCATCATGTCCTTCTCCAAGGAATAGTGCCTCCTAGCAACATACCCAAAGTATGTGAGGCTAAGCCTCATCATTCTTGCCTCCAAAGAGCACTCTGGCTGCACCCTTTCTAAGACATACATGTTTGTTCTTTTGGCCATTCATGGGACAACACAACAACTCAAAGCCATCTATTCTTTTGTCATCCTTATTCATTGTCCAGCTCTCAGATGCATAGCAAGTGATTAGAAAGACTATAGCCTGAATCACACACACCTTAGTTCTCAAACTGACATCATTACTCCTCAGTAATTTGGAAAGGTCCCTAACTGCAGATTTTCCCAGTGCAGTATGTTTCCTGATTTTCTGACTGCTGGTATCAAGGGTGTTAATTGTGACTCCAAGCAAGATGAAGCTGTTTTCAAACTCCTCTCCATCCATCATGATGTTGCCTCTTGATTCAGTGATAAGAATCTTTGTTTTCTTGACATTGAGAGGCAATCCATACCGAGGGTTACATAGTTTCTGGTAGCTACCAGTAATTCTTAGTCTTTTCATCTCTCTTTGTCTTCACATGGTATCCTCCATTTGTAGATATTTCCATCTCTGTTTCCCCCTTTCCCCCTCATTTCTCTTTTTCCTTCTTTATTGTGATTTTAACAAAAGTTTACAGAAAAGTTGGATTTTTCATTTATTAATTGTTGCACATTTTTCTACCAACCCCTCCATTCCTCAGTTTACTTTTATTTAAAAAAGAAATTCAGAAGAGGGAGCAAATTGTATAAAAGGAATATATAATTAGGTATTATTGACATTACAGTAGTTTAGAATAACAGCTGTATAGTAAAGTGGTCTGGGTAGGGGGACTGTATTACCATGAACTTTTTTTCCCAGAGAAAACAAGCAGTCTGGCGGGGAGTGGGGACAGGGAGGTAAAGGTGCAACAGTGAACGATTGGAAACCCAAGTTCTTTATAAATTTTCATTAAAATCTCAAAAATAATTACATGGCAAAAAAGTTCATTCATTGTTGCATAATTTCTTCCCTCCCCAAGCCCTTCCCCAGTCCATTTTGCTATGCACCTCTTATTCTGGACTGCTGTTATTAAAATATTGCCTAATCATATATTCCTTTTAAACAGTTTTTTCCTTCATCTATTCCAATACAGTATTCATATTTATCACCTTTTCCTAGTTTCTCCCCAACCCTCATGTCAGTCCTGTTTTGTAACAGTGGGGATATCCAGTATGTGCCCTTTTGTGAATGAAATATATCAC